CAACAATGCATTAGTGTTCAACACTGGCTGTTATTATTTTTTGTCATGCTTGCCAATTTGCATTAATGTAAGATAAAACTTCAGTACTCTTTTTAATTAGCACATTTTTTTAGGGTATATATTTTAACATTTTAATTTATTATTTTTAAACATTCTATTCTTTTCAAATTTTGAGTTCCAAATTCTCTCCCTCCTACCCTTTCCCCCACCTACTGAGAAGGTAAGCAATATATCAACTAGACATGTAAAATCATACAAAACATATTTCTATATTAGCCATATTTCAAAAAAAGCAAGAAAAATAAAGAGAGAAAATTATACTTCAATTTGCACTCAGAGTTCATCAGTTCTCTCTCGAGGTGGATAGCATTTTTTCATTACGAGTCCTTTGGAATTGTTTTAGATCATTGTATTGATCAGAGTAGCCAAGTTTTTCACAGTTGATCACTATTATAAAATTGCTGTTACTGTGCACAATAAATCTCTCAGTTCTTCTCACTTTATTTTGCATCAGTTCATATAGGTCTTGCCATATTTTTCTGAAACCACCCTGCCCTTGTTATTTCTTATAGCACAACAGTATTCCATCATAATTATATGCTACAACTTGTTCAGTCATTCCCCAATTGATGAGCATCTCTTTGATTTCTAATTCTCTGGCACACCAAAAAAGATCTGCTACAGGTATAAAGAGATCTTTTCCCTTTTCTTTGATCTCTTTGGGATACAAACCTAGTAGTACTATTGCTGGGTCAAAGGGTAGGCCCAGTTTTAGAGCCCTTCAGTCATAGCTCCATTGTTCTCCAGAATGGTTGGACCAGTTCACTACTCCACCAGCAGTTCATTAGTGTATCTATTTTTCCCTCATCCCCAACCAGTAGTTGTCATTTCTGAGAAGTGTGAGATGATCCCTCAGAATTTTTAATTTGCCTTTCTCTAATCAATAGGGATTTAGGTATTAGGGACTTTTTTCATATAATTATAAATAGCTTTGATTTCTTCTTCTGAAAACTGCCTGTTTATATCCTGTCCTAACATTTTATCAATTGGGAAATGGCTCTTATTTTTAGAAATTTAACTCAGTTCTATACTCAGTATATATCTGAGAAATGAGGCCTTTTTCAGAGAAATTTGCTGTAAAAATTTTTTTATATTACTTCATTGGCTATGGTATCTTTTAGCATGATGTAGTTTCCCTGATTATGTCCTTTAATTAGGTCTTTTTTGGCTTTTGCTTTGTCTGAGATCATGATTGCTACCCCTGTCTTTTTTACTTCAGTTGAAGCGTAATATTCTGCTCCAGTCTTTATTTTAATTCTTTCTGTTTCAAGTGTCTCTCTTGTAAATAACATATTGTTGGATTCTGGTTTCTAATTCATTTTGCTATTTGCTTCTGTTTTATGAGTAAGTTCATTCCACTTATGTTCAGTTATGATTACTGTGTATTTCCCTCCATCCCATTTTCTTGTTCCTTCCTCTCCCTATCTTGTCCCTCCTCAAAATTCTATTTTGCTTCTAACCACTGTCTCTCTTAATCTGCCCTCCCTTTTATCATTCCTGCTCCCCCTCTCTAATCCCCTTCCCCCACTATTTCCCTCTGGGGTAAGTCACGTTTCTATACACAGCTGAATGTATATATTCTTCCCCCTTTGAACCAACTGTAATGAGAGTGAAGTTCCAGCACTGCCTGCCACCACCACCACCATCCCCCTCCGAAATTTTCCCCACCATTGTAAAAGCTTTTATTTGCGCACCTCTTTCGTGCGAGAAAATTTTCCTCATCCTACTTCAACCTTCCCACTTCTCCCAGTGCATCATTCTTCCTTGTCCTTTCATTTTTTTTTGAGATTATTTCATCATAATTGACCCACACCCAGGCCCTCTATTTAAACTCCTTTTAACTGCCTTAATAATAATAAAGTACTTGGGAGTTACATTGTGCATCATCTTCCCATATAGGAATGTAAACAGTTTAACTTTATTGAGTTCCTTGGGATTATTTTTTCATGTTTACTTTTTATGCTTGAGTCTTTCTGAATGTCAGATTTTCTATTTAGTTCTGGTCTTTTCATGAGGAATTCTTCAAAGTCCTCTATTTCATTAAATATCCATCTCCCCCCCAACCCCCCATAGGATTATACTCAGTTTTGCTGAGTAGGTTACACTTGGTTGTAATCCTAGCTCCTTTGCTTTCTGGAATATATTCCAAGCCCTACATTCCTTTAACATAGAAGCCATTAAATCTTGTGTGATCTGACCGTGGTTCCACAATATTTAAGTTGTTTCTTTCTGGCTGCTTGAAGTATTTTCTTTTTGACCTGGGAGCTCTGAAATTTGGCTATAATATTGCTAGGACTTTTTATTTTGGGATCTTTTTCAGAGGTGATCAGTGAATTTTTTTTCAATTTCTAATTTGCCCCCTGGATCTAAGATATTGGGGCAGTTTTCTTTAACAATTTCTTGAAATATGATGTCTAGGCTCTTTCTTTGATCATAGTTTCCTGGTAATCCAATCTTAAAATAACTTCTCACTCTATTTTCCAGGTCAGTTGTTTTTCCAATGAGATATTTCATTTTCTTCTATTTTTTTTAAATCTTCTGACTTTTTATTGCTTCTCGAAGTCTTATGGAGTCATTAGCATCCATTTGCCCAATTCTAATTTTTAAGGAATTTTCTTAGTGACTTTTTGCACCTCTTTTTTCCATTTAAACAAATCTGCTTTACAGGGAGTTCTCTTCTTCAGTGAAGTTTTTGTACCTCTTTTACCATCAGGTAAATTCTGTTTTTTAGATGTTATTTTTTTCAGTATCTTTTTATGCCTCTTTTACCAAACTGTTAATTCTTTTTTCATAATTTTCTTACATCACTTTCATTTCTTTTCCCAATTTTTCCTCTACCACTTTTATCTCTTTAACTCTTCCAGGAATTCTTGTTGAGTTGGGTCCAATTAGCATTTTTCTTTGAAGTAGCTATTTTCACATTGTTGCAATGTCATCTTCTGAGTTTATGTCTTGGTCTTCCCTGACACCATAGTAGCTTTTCATGGTCAATTTTTTTGGTCATTTACTCATTTTTCCAGTCTATTTCATAACTTTAAACTTTTTGTTAAAGTTGGGCTCTGCTCATCTGGGAATGGGGAGGCATTATCCCAAGCTTCAGCCTTTATCGTGCTGCTGTTTTCAGAGCTAGTTCTGGGGGTCTGCAAGTTTTTAGTGCTTCCACACAGGCAGTGTGACCCTGGGAGTTATGGTCAGTGCACTCCTGGTCTGCACTCTGGTCTTTATCCAGGAAAGGTCCTTGGTCCCCTGGAACTACAAGTGCTATCACTCCTCTTTGGTTTCATGAACAGGAGCCCTGCTACCCTGCGACCACCAATGCTCCTCTGTGACCTGCAACTGACCCAGAAATGTGTACCGGAAACAGTTGCCAATCAGCACTAGTTGTACCCAGTGCCAGCAGGGGGTCCTCTGTTTTCTTCGTGGCCTGACTCCCCTTAACTGTATCTGGGCTGAGAGCTCCTGGACCTGCTGCTCCTGTTGCAGACGTGAGGTCCTGCAGGAGGTCGGTTGTTGACAGACCTCCACCCTGGTGACAGATTTCTCCAATTTTCTTAGCCTGAAAAAAGTATTTCAACTTGACCTTTTGCTGGCTCTGCCACTCCAAAATTTGATTTGAGGCATTATTTTAAAGTTGCTTGGAGAGGAATATTGGGAGAGTTCAACTAGGTGGCTCCCCCTAACCCACCATCTTGGCTCTGCCTCCTTACTGTATATTTTAACTAGCACAACATCTCTTGGAACATGTTTTCACGTGGTCAATGGCAGGTTGCAATTTTTGAAAATTGTTCATAGTCTGACCACCTACCAAATGGAGATATATCCTAGTGTCATATTTGTACTAATTCTCCAGTGTTGTATATTTTTGCCAGCAGACTTTTATTGGTGATATTTGATGTAAATTTTTTTCTACTTTTCCTTTTTACTTTCATTGATTTTATTCATGTAAAAACTTGGTGTAATCAAAATCATCTCTTCTCTAACGATCTTTATCCCTTAATTCTTCTCCTAGCCATGGTTATGAACAGTATCTGACCTAATTTGTTTATGCTGTGACCATTTATATTCAGGTGATATATCCATTTTGCTTTTATTGCAATATATGGAGTCCTTCCCTCAGTAAATTGTGTTCATGGGACTGGATATTATTTCTACAATTCCAACTTGTAAAATAATAATAGCATTATGGCAGCTTATGTTTATAAAGTACTTTTTGTTTTTGTTTTGTTTTTGGTTTTTTTTGTGAGGCAATTGGGGTTAAGTGACTTGCCCAGGGTCATACAGCTAGTAAATGTCAAGCATCTGGTCTCAGACTGGATTTGAACTCAGGTCCTCCTGACTCCAGGGCTGGTGCTCTATCCACTGCGTCACCTAGCTGCCCCTATAAAGTACTTTTAAGGTTTGCAATGTATTTCATATAATTATTTTCAGTCATCCCTTATAACAGTCCTCTGAGGTAGATATGATTATCTTCATATTATGAATGAGAAAAACAGCTTCATTTAAGATATAATGACTTGCCATTTGCAGTCACACTGCTAATATAAGTCTGAGGCAGAATTCACAACTGGGGGCAGCTAGGTGGTGCAGTAGATAGAGCACTGGCCTTGGAGTCAGGAGGACCCGAGTTCAAATTTAGCACATAACACTCACTAGCTGTGTGACTCTAGGCAAGTCACTTAACCCCAACTGCCTCACCAAAAGAAAAAAAAAAAAGAATTCACAACTAGATCTTGCCTGATTTCAAAGTCAGCAATCTTTCCATGACACCACACTGCCTTCCCAAGTTGGAGTCTGGTTTCAGCTGAGCATTTAAGTATTTTTAATCTTTTGTTTTACAGCCCTGATGAAGTATTAAGGTATTATGTAGTCAAGAGTTCTAGATAAACTCCTTTTATTCCAGTACACAGTCTCTTAAATAGTGTTTTATCTATTACACTGATACGTGGTCACTATGGCTTATGATTGATAATGAATCCAAGTGTATCTGAGCTTCCTTAAGGAAAGATCTCTTTTTAAGATTTCTTTTTAACAGATCCACAGCAGATAGCCAGAGCCAGTTAGAGTGCTAACTTTTACAATGTAACAGAAATGTAGCTGCACTGCTGCTGAAGAATGAGTCAAGCATTAACTTCCCTGTTCAATAATCTAAGACTTCTTTTCAAAAATCTACACATTACACTTCATCAAACTGGCTTTCAAGGAACAAAGTATTTGAGGAGTGACATTAGGGCTCACCCTTAAACCATGGTTCAGGGGTTTATGGAGTCCCGATATCATGGAAAATTTGGAGCAGAGGAGGATCCTGCTGCAAATGCTATGCTTGACTGAACCCTCACAGGGTTTTTCCTGTTGCTGGAGAAATGCCAAATAAAGCCTAGACCATTTTGGCTCTTTTTGTGAATGCCGGCAAATCTGATTTGTCCTAGGGGACAGTGGGCAAGTGTGATTAGCAATGCTAGGCTCAAGAGAATCTAAACATGGATCTAAATGCATAGGATATTACTTTATAAAGAGTATGGAACAGAGAGACACAGTTGTGTGTGGAAGAAGGAATTGAGTAGGACACTACTCTAGTGCAGGGGTAGAGAACCTGTGACATTCCTGGTCCTTGCGTGAGGCTTTTGGACTGAGTTCAAGTTTTACAGGACAAATCCTTTTATTAAGGGGATTTGTTCTGTGAAGTTTGGATTCAGTCAAATGGCCACACTTGAGGACCTAGGAGGCCACAGGTTCCCCACCCCTGGTAGTCCAACCAAAGATCTTACCTTTGGGGAAAGACCCAGATGAAAAGATAGCAAGCCCAACTATATCAACTACCTGATGTACGTTAAGTAAGAAAATGGAATGGTGGCAAAGATTCCAGGGCAGTCACAGACACATGTAAGAAAAGGGATGTAGTTATAAGGGCCTTAAAATTAGGAAGAAATAGGAAGATATCTTCATTCTATTTTGGGGCCAGACATACAGGATACTGCTCCAATTATAGCATAAGGACACTGAAATGGACAAAGCGTAGGGATGGGCCTTGTAGGGTGCTTTACATATTTATTTCAAAAGAGAGGCACATCCAGTGTGATCATCTGTAGGAGTGTGCCCAACAATCTGAAATCCAATAAAGCCTATTTGTTCCTTTACCTTGTGACAGACCAGATAGCAAGTTACTGAGCCCATAGATAAAAAGTGGTTTTCTCCATAGGGGAGAGTTGCATTCTTGCATCCAATAAACACAACCATCAGCTCAGTTCTACTATTATTTATTTTTTTAAATATTTTTGAAAAAATATAATTTTTTTACAATATTTTCAACTTAAACACTATTCACACTGAACACGTATGGCAGCTTAACCTACCCAAATATGAAGTTTAAGAAGCCAAAACTGTTCTAGCTTTGTTAAAAGAAAAGTTGTTGTGCTGTAGACTATTGTGTAGTGATGATTAACAAAGCAAGGGAAAAGCACCACTCAAATCAGAATGCTAAGACTTCCTTGGTTCAATTTGACTAAGTGTTATATGCTAGAATTTACATAGACACAGCTATGAAGTACTAGGGAACTTGGAAGATGACATAATTTTCAAATTACACTCCTTGGATGTATAACTAGGAGTGGGTTTCAACATTTCTAACATGATAACATAATGCAAAAATCAGGGGATAGTTTTCATCTGTTTGTTACTTTGTAACTTCAGGAGCCATTCGAGACCGGCGGGCTTGCGTGGAGCTCTTTTGTTACCAAATCTATTCTTGAAGTACAATTTTCTCTCCGTGGGGACAAATACAATAAGTAACAATACTGAAATCTGAACGAAGTAATTTGTATAACAATTAGAACTTTACTTTCAAAATTGACTTTAAGTTAAGGCATTAACAGGTGTTGGTTAACACCAAGTGACCGGTTTAGTCTCAATTAAAACAAATCATTTAGTCAAATTTCTAAATCTCTTTCAGAGGTTGCCTGATTTGTCACAACTTGACTGGTGCTTCTTTCCTCACTGTCTTTTCACATCAAGCCAAGGTCCAACTATTTTCAGTAAAAGTTTGACAGCTTTTTACTTAATAACAGTCTCAGCACTTTTATTAAGCATGCAAGACTAACAAAACTTTGGCAATGCATAAGTGTAACACAGTGACAAGAAGGGAGAGCTTTTACAATTAAGTCTTCTAATACTGCCTTCACAGTGTGGAAATTGTGCTACATCCACCAAAAGAGGGCCCCGTCTACTCAAATATTTAGTACTTCACCCCAGGAACAAACTCCTTTGCATTTGGATTCAGATTACTCTTGACCTGGAAAGTAAGAAAGCAAGTTTACTAAAAGACTGCTCTTAAAAGCTCGTTAGTATTCATTATTTCCTCACATGCAAAAGTTTTAAGTTCAAGACAGAGAAACTCAGGGTTCATAATGAACATCAGTCATTAACCCCACATCTCTAGAACGACAAAGGAAGTGAGAAACAAATGTAATATTTTCCTGAGATTAAAACAATGTAAGCTATTCTAAACAGGTTGGAATTCAGGGAAGTTATATTTTAACCAGAAATACATACTCTATATTAACTGATGGCATAGCTTTGCTCAAGGCTTCTGGTGATCTAATCATAATGCCTGCTTTTCTTTGAACACCAAAAAACTTAGACCACAAAGTTACAGGTAGTGTTACCGGGTCTTTAAATATTATTAGCAAAAGTTTCTGATATGATGCATTTACTGGAAACAGCTGGCCTGTCAAGTAAGTAATTATGATTATGAAATCTGCAGATTATCTGAACCCTGATTTCTCTTTGCTCCTCCCTTTCACTGACTGCCTTTTAGGAAGCCGAAAGATGTAAAATTCAAAATTAGTCATTCTACTACTTGTGAGTATTAGGAACGAGAAAAATATTAAATCTGTTAAGTGAAAAGATTAATTGTGTTGTCTCCTTCAGTATATAAAAAGCTAATGCTTTCTAAATCTTTTAGGCAGTATTTAGTGGAAAGAAGCCTAAGCTGGGAACCAAGAGAGCTAGGTTCTAGTCCTTCTTCCCTAGTTCTATAACACTAGACTAATTGTGTGACCTTAGGCGCGTGACTTCCTTTTTATATGCCTTAGTTTTTTCTTCATCTCTAAAATGTGGTAGTTGGGCTAGATGATCTCTAAGGTCTTTTATAGCTCTAAAATTCTATTATTTTTTAGGCTTTCCTCAGTCCTGCAAGTGCACAAACCAGAGGACAAGGCATAAGGGAGCAAAGGGATGCCTCTGAATTCACAAATTCTTCTACCACTTCTTGATATGGCAACCGATGAAGAGAAAGGCATCAGGATTGCACTACAGGGCCTGGGACACCTGGGCCTGCTAGATGAAATCTGGCTTTTAGGTTAACGGCTAGAAGCTGTCCATTATTACATACACAACGATATCGTGTGGCAAGAGCTTAATACCATTTTCATATTCAGTACATAGTAAGCATTTCCTTGGTCAGGATGTATTCCCCCATCCCAAGTAAAAATACAAAAAAACTCCATGTCATAATAGTTT